GAAGAATCAAAGTCTCTAGCCTTCACCCTCAAACTGAGTGAGAAGGCCAGCCATGAGAGAGAGGGATTTAGAACTCTCAGCATCACCTGGTGCCTCAAGCAACTGACAGGCACTGGAACCTGTGAGGGGATCAAAATAAGAGCGGGCTATGATGTAATTGGACGTGGGCAGGAGGTTCCCTTCGTTCCGTAGCTCAAGAATACAATCAAAAGAGACTTGTTGGAGGTACAATAGACCAGGACTGCCTCTCTCTTCCCCGTTAGCCACACAATCCTTCACTCGCTGATTCTCACTAAGACAGTTCTTGTCAGTGCTAGCTTGTAATAGTGTAAAATCAGAGTCATTATGTTCATCCTTGAACTCAACAGGTACCAGGTAATGCCCTAGGTTTTCCAGCCGATGAGCATTAGTGAAGACTGGTAGAGAAGAAGAAACATTGATGAACACACGTTTAACAGTAGCAACAGATATCTGTTGAGATAAAATAAAAAAGAAATTGTAACACAAAAAAACAATCAAAACAGAAAAACACAATTACACCACAATTATATTTTATACTCCCTTCCTTCCTATTCTATTCTGCTCACTTCAGTATGAGTATCCACCATTCCCTCCACTTTATGATAGACTACAGCTCTACCAGTACCAACGGCTCTAGCTACACTAGTGCCGTCCTTGAACTGTATGACTCCTTTACCACCTGCCTCCCAACTACTATCAGGATGATCTGTACATGTAATACAATGAGAGAATAATAGTCACAGCACTGATAATAACACACAGTAGATATAAAAGACAGTGCATTAATATATTATTATTATAGCAAAGTCAAAGGCTCTGCTTAAAAAGAGGTAATTGGAAGCTACAGTTGTACCTTTAAATTTATGTACACACTAGAATATTATGCTTTATGTATGGTTATTAATATTAGTTGCATGGTTGGTCTAAGTGATGAACTGGTTGTTCATTTGTAGGCAGAACCAAGAAAAACTTATAGCTCTAATGTCTACAGTAAGTTGGTGAAGGTTATAACAAGCAATGTATGAGGAGGAGGGTGTCATTTACCTTCAGTGAGGTGTGTGGTAAAGCATATCTTAGCTCCCAAGTGAACAGTGGCCAGTGATGGTATAATGGCATAGCTAACAGTCACTCTAATATAATCTGAAATATGAGGACTGCCTTTCA